ATGACAATGAATGCATGCATGCTCGATGTACTTTGTCGGTAAATTCCATCGCGATGCCTTGTCCCGCCATTGTTTGCAGCTGATTTTCAGAAACTTACACAAAGCTCCAGGAGGCTGAAACTCCACCTGGGGAAGGCTGCCGACCACCTCTTGGCTTGGGAAACACCTGCCGACCACCCCTCATACAAATATGTTCATCGCTTTAATCGCATCCTCAAAAATTGAGAATATAAGTTAGTAACTGAATCTTCATTTCTTGCACAAGTGGATTTACTTTTTTAATGATTGGACTCAAATACCATAGAATTAATGGTATCTTTGGAGTGATGCTATTGTGAAGAAAAAAAAGTTGGTTCTGAAGGTAATGGAAGGGTGAAAGAGAAGCTATTGAGCATAAGAACAACTGAAGCCATGGTTGGCCTTTGAGCTGCATTTTCCTGTACACATAGCAACCCAATATGGATGCATATATCTCATAATTTCACTTAGCTAACTTGACCTATTGCTTAATGTATGATCTATCATATTTGAAATTGTTCCTTCTCTCCAACTTTTCCAAGCCTGCACAAATTCAATATATGTGCAATGGGATTTCATGGCCTATTAAATTTCATAGGACTAATAAGCTGCCATGGATGTCATGGATATTAATTCATACTTACATAGCTTAGAAGGTTCTCATTTTCCTCATTGTGGAAATAATTGTCCTTTTGACCGCTCACAATTTCCAAGACTAACACACCAAAGCTAAACACATCTGACTTGACCGAGAACTGGCCATGTATTGTATATTCTGGAGCCATATATATGCATGATGGCCGAGGAGTCGAATTGCACGACTCAATATGAAATGAATGCACATGAAAACACAACAAGACCTAAACTCTATCATGGGTAATCCGGAGTGTCGGCGACAGGGAACTGAGACACGTTCGGTCATTCGGAGTACGAAACATCCCTCGTTTCCTGTGCTCAGGCTAACTCCTATCCCAAACACAATGCGAATGAGATGGCATACACAATGCGACCAACATACAACCTAGCATACGCAATGCTATGAATTGAAAAGGGATACACAATGCTCGATGTAACATGGCATACACAAAGCTCTAACACGCAACCTAGCATACGCAATGCTATGAATTGAAAAGGCATACACAATGCTCGATGTAACATGGCATACACAAAGCTCTAACACGCAACCTAGCATACGCAATGCTATGAATTGAAAAGGCATACACAACCGAAATGCGTGCACACGTGCACGCATACCGAGGACCGAACCTAAGGCATAAAATACCACTCTACCAAAGCATGGCAAGGGATGAAAGATTGCATACAAACATGTGATTTCCAGCGCTGAAACATGATGCTAAATAGTCCCGAAACGTGGAAATATGGCACCCGATGTATGGAAAAAGCTTCGAAACTCAAAACTTGGCACATGTATTGAACTACAAGTATACAAAGCAAGCATTATTTGATCATGAAGTCAAAAGACAGAGCCAAGGCAGTCCCAAAACATGCACATTTCTAGTTTAGAGCATGGCCAAAAGATGCTAACATGATGGACTAAAATAGCATGCAACATTGGCTAGCAAGCATGGTTTACATGGCATGTATATGAAGCAAATGAGAACTCATCAAACCAGCCAAAAACAGTGAATAAAACATGTCAAAATATGCCCAAATAATCACTGAAATGCAGCCAATGTATGCAAAAATGAGGGGCTTCTTTGGAGGGCCTTGTAAGGGGTTGTTAAGCACATACAAGATAGACACTTAGCATGGCAAAACCAACTCTGGAAATGGATTATGACAGCCCTAATACTCACCAAATATGCCCTGAAATCAGTCCAGGAATCATGCAAAGAAAGGCTCATTTGAAGAGCCTTGGATGGGATTGCTCTACACATGCATTGTAGGTATAAAATATGGCCAAAAGGGCCTTGGACAGAGCCAAGGCAGACCCCAAAACTCACAGAATGAGGCCTGAAACAAGACTTCAATGCATGCAAAATAGGGTCCCTTTGGAAGGCCCAAAAGACCACCAAACAAGACAAGGAGAGGGGGGGTCACCCCCTCTAATTTTGGCCCTCAAAAATACATCTAAGCCACTGAAAATCCACTGGATTTTAGTGGCTAAGAGGCCAAACCATGGCCAGTGCAAGTGCTCTAATGCATAACCTTAATCATGAAGAGATGAAGCATGCATAGGGGGAAGATGAACCCAAACAAAAATGGGACCTTAACCAAACTTGAAGAGAATGTCAAAACAAGACTTTTTTCAATTTATAGAAAATCTCGAAAATGCTCACAAGTAAGGCTAAAATATGATGCAAAAATAGCCCTAAAGGAGTGATTGAACAAACAAGGGAGTAAATGACTTCAAACAGTAAAGTTCCCTTAAACAAAGTTGAAGAGAGGCTCAAAATAAGTCACTTTACAGTTTATAGAAAATCTCTAAAGTGCTCACAAGTAGGACTAAGATATGATGCAAAATAGGCCTACAAAGAGGGGTAAAGCATGCAAGGGTGTAGGAGGCCTCAAACAGAAAAGTTTCCTTATACAATCTTCAAGAGGAGCTCAAAATATGACACTTTTAAGTTTATGAAAAAGTCTAAAAATACTTTCAAGTATGGAAAAAACAAGGAGCAAAATGAAGACCAAAAGAGGGAAAAAGTATGTTACCCTTGTAGCCAAGAACTCCAGCAGCAAAAGAGGTCCAAACTCTGAGCTAAAACCAGATTTTGGAGCTCAAAATGATCCTCAAAGAACCTCAGCCCAATGGTAGTTGAGTTTGATCAAGGGTGCTTAGGCAAAGAAGAGGTATATCTCTTGTTATGTACACAAAGGCAAGAGAATGAGAGAGAGACAGAAACAGAGATTTGGCTCTGGAATTTCTAGAGAGAGAGGGATTTTTTTTTAGAGTGAGAAGCTCCCAAGCTTCTCCAAGAAGTTCTCCTTGAAAATGAGAGATATATCTCATATATATATAAAATGGGAGTTGGCTCCAAAATATCTTATTATAGGACAGCTGGAGGTTGTGGAAGACAGTTGGAGGGAAAATATCTATCAATTCTGAGATTTCTGGGCATAAGTGGTCGGCCGGCCACATTCCCTGGTCAGCCTACTACTTTTCCTGGTCGTCCGACCACTTTTTCAGGAGAGGGTGGTCGGCCAGCCACCTTTTCTGCTCGGCCTGCTACTTTTCTGGTTTTTCAGGACAAAAAAAAGGTCTTCTGGAAAGAAAGGTGGCCGGCCAGTGATTGGGAAGTCCAAAAGTGATCGGCCAGGTATCCAAATTGAATCCCCGGAAGTTAGCTTTTCAATGGCGCAAACCTTGCATTAAAATTCCATCTATGCAAAAAGTTATGCCTGTTTTGGTGAAGCCGCGCAGATTCGGTCCAACCGGGTTGATGCCCTACTTCAACCAACCATATCTCCTCCGTCCGGACTTGGATTTAGGAGATTCTTGAGTGCAAAATGAAGCCCCGGAAGTAAGATTTCCAACGGTGATGGCCTCATAGCTAGCATCCAAGTATGCAAATGAATAAGCCCGATTCAGCGAGGGCTGCTCGACTCTCTCCTACCCGGATTCATGCCGAATTTCTCCCAAACTAGTTTCTTCCCTCTTCTCTTCTTTTCTTCAACTTCAAACTCCTAAGTAAGGTGTTTTGAAAGATTTTTCAAAGATTTCATCTCTCTTTCATTCATTTCCACTTTGCCCTTGCTCAGTTTACTGAAAAGCGCAACATTTAACGAAATGCGAGCGTCGGAACATCGTAGGAACTTTATTTTCAAAACGTTTTGAAAGAGAGGGTTTCAAGTCTAAAATCTTTTGATCAAGATTGTTTCGTTCCAAAAAAGGGGTATGAAGTTGAGATTTGACTCTCTCCTTACCGAAGAAACTGAACCTTTGCCTTGCATACCTTTCTCCATCAAGTAAACCATCAGTCGTGTCCAAGTCTTAAGGGCGGTCAAAAATGGGGTGTCTACAGGTATGCATTGTTTGATATTTAATTTTCAATTTAATTTGTTGAGATTGCAGAGCATTTGTTGGTGTGTTTTATGTGGTGTTTAGTAATTTTTTTTCTTTTTATTATAGAATGTTAACGTGTATACAATAGCTTTGATTTTTGTATTTTATTTAGCGTTTATAATTTTTTTTTTTTCTTGCTCTTATATTTTGATTTGCAATATTAGTAAATTGTATAAAACTTAAGTTTTTTTGAACGCTTTAAAACTTAAATATTTGTCTCTTAATTTGCATTAAGGGGTTCGGGAGAGTTGTTATTTTATTTGAGTAATGTACGGCATGTGGTACAAGCAAAATTGTTATAAGTTTTTAAGAATAATAATATTTCTTTATATTTTTTTTGTATCGTTATCAAAAAAAGACCGTGCCTTTATTACAATTACATTTTAATTTCAACATTATTTATATCATACTTTTAAACACGGGCACATACTAATAATACTATAAAATTGAACTTACGGTTCGAGACTAATTGAAATTTTCGTCTTTTTAATTTTTTATAATGCAAGTCCATTTAGATTTTAAAATTTTTTTCAATCAACTGAATCAATCAAAATATTATATTTAAATACTTTTATATTATAACTTTTTTAATCGACCTCTTTCATTTCTCGTTATTATTCTTAAGGTAAGATTTTATAAGTTTAAAATCCCTTAAGGTCAATTCTCCGTTTACATTAAACAAAAAAATGGACAAAAATACAAACATGACAACCGGTGGCTGGTTTTTATTCCTCAATCAAAAAAGATAACCAAAGTGACAAAGAATTTTATATTTCAAGGACCCAAATGAGAGAATTTTTTCTTCAGAGACCAAAGTGAGGAAATTGTCATAACTTTAAGGGCGAAAATGAAATTTACTTTACCCTTAAACATGGTTTTCAGAAGGCGCCGTTACGGTCGTCACTTCACTTCCAATAAACCGTCTAAATAGACGGCTTGCTAACCGAGTCCGTCACCGTTTATTTGTTTCATCACTCTCTCTCTCTCCTTTGTCTCTCTCTTTCCTTCGTATGTGTAGATTATTGGAGAGTAAGCTCGTGTAGATCTTCTCATTCTCGTGGGTTCAAAGCCAATCACCAAAAAAGGTAATTTCCGAAATCACAATCCACTTCCTGGTGTTTCTCGTCCTTCGATTCAGATTTCGTAGCTTGTTTCTTTTGCTTTTGGCCCTCTTCTACTGTACAGATTTCTAGGGTTTTCTCAAATTCTCTCTCGCTCGTTAGGAGTAGAACAGTTTTGATCTTGATAATCTTATATAACCCTTCACTGTTTCGAATTTATGAATAACCCATCTTGTGTTATGAATTTCAAGTTGAGTATGTTCATGCCAAGATCAAGATTTTAAGAGGGTTTGTTTGTTTGTTTGGGGATTTTATGAGGTGCTTCTGTTGATTTGGGTGATTTGGGTGGGTCTTTAATTCCGTATAGATCAATAACAAGGAACCCATACAGGAGATTAGTAGTGTAAAAGACTGTAAAACATGGGAGAAGATTTACTCACAGGCCTCTCAATTGAGAATTATCACCCATCAACATTTTTATCCATGGATTCAATTGCTACCTCCCATGAGGAATCAGACCGAGACATGAATCGGCAGGTTATCCTCTCCCATCCTCCCGATATTAACCTCCCGCTATCCGTGGAGCATAGTCCTCCACCTCAGTTGTGGAGTCACGACGCATTTGATATGTTAGAGGTTGGGCTTGGACATCAAATCAATGAATCCGATACGCTCATGTATATGTCTAAGACTGAGAGAAAATGTGCTAAGCGATTTGATAGTGTATGGGGTGCTTGGATTTTCTTTAGTTTCTACTTCAAGCCTGTTTTGAAGGACAAATCAAAGTGCAACATTGTTCAGGATAGTAATGGGGTCTCGGGGTTTGATAAGTCGGATCTCCAGCTTGATGTCTTTCTGGTTCAACATGATATGGAGAACATATATATGTGGGCTTTTAAGGAGAGGCCAGAGAATGCATTGGGCAAGATGCAGTTGAGGAGTTACATGAATGGGCATTCTCGCCAGGGTGAACGTCCATTTCCATTTAGTGTCGACAAGGGTTTTGTTCGATCTCATAGAATGCAGCGGAAACATTACAGGGGCCTTTCAAATCCTCAATGTGTACATGGGATTGAGCCTGTTTCATCACCCAATCTTATGGGTCTTGATGAGGAAGAGCAGAAGAAGTGGATAGAACTAACGGGTAGGGATCTAAATTTCTCTGTCCCACCCGAAGCAAGGGAATATAGTTTGTGGAGGAGCCTTCCGAACACGGATTTTGAGCTTGAGAGACCACTTCCTCCATTAAAGAGCAATCCACAACCTCCTCCGAAAAAATTGCTTAATGGGTCTGGATTGAACTTGTCAACTCAGCCACCAAACCACATAAATGGAAGCGGAATTGACCTCTCACCTGTTTGCAACAAGAGGAGGAAGGATTCTTTCCCACATGGTAATGATGAAGATTGTTGCTTGCCCATTAATCCTCATTCTGATCATCATCAAGATATAGATATCCACACGATTGAGCCGCCTTGGATGAATGAGTTTAGTGGAGCGATGAGGAATGTAAATGGGCCTGTTACGGCTGCGAAAACTATCTATGAGGACGAAGAAGGATACTTAATCATCATTACCATGCCTTTCGCTGACCCTGAAAGGGTAAAAGTTCATTGGTGGAACAATCTCACTCATGGTGTTGTGAAGATATCATCTGTGAGCACAGCATGTATGCCCTTTATCCAGAGAAATGATAGAACGTTCAAACTGACTGATCCATCTCCTGAGCACTGTCCTCCAGGGGAATTCAAAAGGGAAATCCCACTTGCTACCCGAATTCCAGATGATGCGAAGCTCGAAGCATACTTCGACAAAAGTGGAACGATGCTGGAGATTTTAGTGCCAAAACACCGTGTGGGACCAGAAGAGCATGAGGTTACTGTTTGCCTTCGTCCTCCCAATGATTTTGCGTTGTCTTGACTCTGGCATTTGGTTGGAGAACTGTAAGGGTTGCTTACTACATCCATTAAGTTAAATTCTGAAACAAAATTTTTATCCTAACTAAATTACGTAGTCTTTCTACTTCTAACTCCCAAAAAAAACAAAAAATTTGATTGTTATGGCTTTGTTTTATGGCATTTGGGTGGGATTGTTCCTGAGCTTGAACATTGAAGTGCGAAGCTCAATAGTAAGGATCGTGCAACTCAATTGCTAATCTCTTCTATGTTCACCGGTTTCTGGAGTCATCCTAATGCCAGATTTTTTTTTATTCCAGGTTTTGAAATTGTTCCATGTATCGCTTCTGATCTAGTCTCTCACTTCATATTTTGCGATGCATGTGGTGGAGAAATGTAGATGACAGTGGGAAAAGAACAAGCCATTCTTCCGTTTTGTTGTACAGCGTCTGAATGCAAATGTTCTATCTTGATGAACGAATAAACCAGTGGTTTACAGTCC